AAACTTGACTACTACCTCACACCATGCAAAAAAAAAAAAAACTCAAATGGATTAATGAACAGGACATAAGACCTGAAACCATAAAATATAAGAAGGAAATATAGGTGAAAACACTACACAACATGCACCTCAAAGACATCTTTACAGACACATCACCCAAAGCAATGATAGTGAAGGCCAAGATAAACAGCTGGGACTACATCAAATTAAAGAGCTTCTGCACAGCAAAAGAGACAATAACCAAAACAAAGAGACACCCCACCAACTGGGAGAACATTTTTGCACACAACACTAGTGATAAAGGACTGATCAAAAAATCTACAAAGACCTGATGAGACTCAACAAAACAAAGAAATTATCCAGTCAAAAAATGGGCAGAAGAGCTAAAAAGAAACTTCTCCAAAGGAAATGCAAATGGCCAATAGACATATGAAAAAATGTTCAACATCACTTGTAATCAAGGAAATGAAAATCAAAACTACCATGAGATACCATCTTACACCAGTGAGAATGGCACATATTAAAAAAACTAACAACAACAAATGTTGGTGAGGTTGTGGAGAAAAAGGAACTCTCCTGCACTGCTGGTGGGAGTGCAAACTGGTCCAACCACTATGGAGAGCTGTGTGGAGATTTCTTGACCTACTAATTATAGAGCTTCCATATGATCCAGCAATTCCACTCCTAGGTATTTACCCAAATGACATAGAAACATTAGTTCAAAAGGGCACCTGCACCCCTATGTTTATAGCAGCATTATTTACAATAGCTGAGCTTTGGAAACAACCCAAATGCCCAAAAATAGAGACTGGATCAAGAAGATGTAGTTTATATATACGCAATGGAATATTACTCAACAATCAAAAAAGATAAACTCATGCAATTTGCAGCAACATGGATGGAGCTGGAAAGGATCACACTCAGCAAAATAAGCCAAAAGAAAAAAAAAAACTACCAGATGGTCCCACTCATAGCAGGAATCTAGAAAACCTAAATAAGGGACCAGGAAAAAGAATAACTATAATAAAGAAAAAAATCAAAATTAACAAGCAACTATTAACCAGAGACACACTATTGTGGGGGGGGGGCAGGGCGAAGAGGGATTTGGGTCAAAATAAAGGGGGTGTGCAACTGTATGGGGAATATAAAAAAATAAATCTTAAAAAAAAAAAAAATTTGTTAGATTTGGGCCTCCCTGGTAGTGCAAGCGGTGAGCGCTCCGTGCTGTGAAGCTGTCCACAGCTTCTCCTGTCTCACCCGCTGCTCCCCTCAGCAGTGTGTTTTGTCAATCTGCCTGTTCTGTTCCCGACTCTGTTTCCAGTGAATCCTCTCACCCTCTCGCATATCTGGCCTGCACCCCGGGTCTTGTATAAATAAATAAATCTTTATAAAAAAATTTTTAAAATTTGTTAAATTTTACAAATAATACAAGATCACACATGTATCCATCTGTGAATCTGTCAATATCAAAATGTGGATTCTAGTGTATTCATGGTGTTTCATTCAAACCCATCATTCTTTTTGCATGCCAAAGGAAAGTTTATGTTAAAATGCCTGAGACACAAACTCAGCAGAGGCTGGAATGATGGTAAAGACTCTGTGGTCCTCACTGTGTGGAAATGAGCCCCAGGGGAACCAGGGAGACTCTCAGGAGGGTCCTCACACTCCTGGTCCCCAGGTCCCTCCCCTACAATCCCCATCTCTGTGACTCAGGGTCTGTGTCCGGGACCATAAACAAACCCCTGAGCAGGGAAAGGGTGTGTGACTCAGGCTCAGGAGGCTCAGATCTCCCTTCACCAGCATCTCTGACCTTCCCTGCAGGACCCTATGCAGACCCTACCCTGGTGGCACTAGGCTGGGGGGGGCAGGGAGGTCATGTGAGAGGCAATGCAATTAGATGGTCACCCCAATAATGCTTTTGAAAGGATAAGTTTATCTGAAGTACTTCAAAAGGCACCTGTATTCCATTTCCGAACCTTGCACAGTGTCTGCACAGCACAGATTCAAACTGATGACTGTACCCAAAACTTCTAGAAGGCTCTTCTCCCCCACGCCCGTCTACTTCCTTCCCATCTCCATATCCATCTAGACTTTTCTTTCAAATTTCCCCTATTCTTTGGAATGGATTATAGCCATTTTAGGTTTGTTCTTTTCCAGTCTACATAGTTACCTCCTAAAAAAAAAAAAAAAAAAAACCTACTTAATAGCGACTAAGAGACTGACAGGCAGAATTCTCCTTAAAAAGATGATGGTTCTGAAAAATCATATATTGTTTATCTTGTTACAAGGACACAAGAAAAACACACACAGGGCCTCCCCGGTGGCGCAGCGGTTGAGCTCTGGGTTGCGAAGCTGCCTGCGGCCTCTGCAGCGCTGGTTCAATCCCCGGCTGTTCCCTGGCCACCGGAGGAGGGTCCCACATGGCGCGCAGACCTCTGCTGCCGCCCGCTGCTCCCCTCGGCAGTGTACTTCGGTCCTTCTGCCTGCTCTGCTCCCCGCTCTGGCTCTGGTGAATTCTCTCACCCTCCCGCGCTCTGACTGTACCCAGTGCTTGTACAAACAAACAAACAAATAAATAAATAAATAACATGCCTCTATTAAAAAAGAAAGAAAATACACACACAGAGCACACATACACAAACACACACACACTCAGGATTTTAAGAGTAATTTTTACCTTTAACAGGCCCCTGCCCAAGAATCATAAAAACCCAGAAGCTCTGACCCAGACTCAGAACACGGCCTCTGAAAAACTGATTCCTCAGCAACCACAAGGGATTAGAAGAAAAATCCAGCTTGGACATGATCAGAGCATGCATGAGAAGACAGAGAATCAAGAGGAAACAGGAAACAAAAAACTAGATCCAAAATAGGACTGGGATTTGGGATCCAGAAGGATCCATAACTTAGGACCCTTTAGTAAGACCTGACTCCAAACCAGGAAGGAGGATGTCTGGAATTTTCGAGAGATCGGCAAAGTCCTGAACCACACACTTGTCCCTGCTGCAGCCTCTCTTCACACTGACCCCCACTGTCCTCACCACAGGAAGGACCAGGTGACAAGGGGTCAGAAGGTGTCCTGACCCACATGACCTGCAGGGAGGACAGGGCAGGTGGAAGCAGGTCTGTGCACACAAGGGGGGCCCGGCAGTTCGCAGATGTACATTCCAGAGTGAAGGAAGACCAGGGGCCCCAGGTCCTTCCTGGTGGGGTCCCCTGATAGAGAAGGGGCAGAGGGGAGGCTGGGAGGGGGTCCCAGGACCCTCAGGGCCACTCACCTGCATACAGCTGGGCCTTCCTCCAGGCTGAAAGGGAACACACAGGTGAGACCTCAGCACAACCAGCTGCTCATGTGATCCACGGGCCCTGGGCTCCCCCTGTTCTGCAGGTGAGACTCTCTGGGGTAGAGGGGAGAGGCTGAGAGGTCATGACCTCCTGCCCTGTGCAGACAGCAGGGGGTGGTGGGAAATCCCTGGCTCAGGTCAGGAGCCTGCAGGACAGACTGACCCAGCCCTGCCTGCTGCTGCTGTGGGGCTTTGGGCAAGTCACTGAGCAGCTCTGGGCTTCAAAGCCTTAAAAGCTCCTGCATCACCTGCTACTCAGTGTTGTTACACAGGATCAAAACAGTATATGGGAAGATTTTTTAACTAACATATTATTCCATAATTATTACATTTAGTAATCCTTGGAAATTAATGGGAAGATGAAATGAAAACAAACATTGGACATCACACCAGTTCCATAGTAGAAATGGCTCATCTTTCTCCAATGCAGTATTTCTAGTGATAAAAACTCTCTGGGAGAGGAAAAGCCCCCCCTCTCCCTCCCATGCAAGGTCACCCCATCCCCTCCCAGCACCACTGATCAGCATCTAAAGGAGCAGAGAGAACAGACTCTCCTTGGGGGTGTTTGGGGAGAAAGGGCAGGAGGAGGTCACACCCCCAAACTTCAAGAGTCCATTTACTTATAAAAACTCAGAGCAGCTGCTTTACTTCCAGGTGCTGAAAAAGAACAAGATGCACTGAGGACGGGAAAGCCAGCACCATGGTGGGAAAGTCAGGGCTGGAATGAGACCAGGATGCAGGAGACTCCAGGGGTCACCACCCCACCAGGATCCCAAGAATAGGGGAAAGAGCACCCAGATCTGGGAGAGCCCGTGGAGCAGTGACCTGCCTCACACTAGCTCCCACTTCTACCCCAGGGAAGGGTCCACATGTCTGTGCTGAGACAGCCAAGGGCAGGGACCCCTGAGCACAGGGACAGGGACCCAGGACACCTGGAGCATCACTCACCAGCCAGGTAAGCTGCCTTCCTCTGGTCTGAAAGACAACACAGGACACAGGTGAGCTAAGAACCAGAATGTCTCCTATGAAGGGGACACAGAGTTCAGGAGGGAGAGCAGAGCTTACCTAGAGTTGCCTGGAGCTCATCTGAAAGAGAATTAAAAATATAAGCATAAACTGTCCCTAAGAACAAAATTGTGCCTAGAGAAGACACAAAAATGAATCTCTCTGTGTCCTAGATTCCGCCTTCAGAGCAACATGAGCCTCCTAGCTCCACTGTCCCCTCTGGGAATCAGCACCTGCTATGATCTGCTGAAAAGGATCCTGGGCTTTGGCTCTGGTGTCAGCTTGTCCCTCTCAGCACCCACTGCCACACTCACCTCGCTGGCCCCTGTCCTGCCTTACCTGTTTCCTTCAGGGCCTCCATTTGTATGTAGATCCTCCTCCTTACCGTGATGTAGTGTGGCTCCTTCATCTGCGTGGAATGTTCTCTTTGGGTGTAGCAGGAAGCCCACAGGAGCAGGAGCAGCAGCAAAGGCAGGCTCACCAGGAAAGCCAGCTTCCAGGGAGAGGCCCAGGGGAAGAAGGGCTCTGCAGACAGAGACCCCACAGAGACCCCATCAGGACTCAGGCCAGAACAGCACAGCCCAGCTCACCTGGAGATGGTGGCCCCTCCTCTGATATTGAAGGGAGCATGGAGTGGGGAGCAGCTCTGACCTGGGATGACAATGGCCATGGCTTTCTCCTGGTGCAGGACAGGGTTGAGGATGGAGCAGGTCACGCTCCCTGCAGAGCTGTCTCTCACCACCAGAGCGGCCTCCACACTGAACAGCCCCTCAGTGTCCTGGGCCTGGACCTTGGAGAACTCCAGGAACTGCTCCCCACGGGGATCTCTCCACTGCACCTGGGGCTCCGGGAACCAGCCCGAGGCTGTGCACACCACGCGCAACCCATTCTCCTCTGGTCCCGAGATGTGCACTTGGGGGGCAGAGCCCACACCTGCGGAGGGAAGATGAGAGCCAGGTGGGGAGGACCCTCCTGCATTCTGGGGCACCTGGGGGAGACCACCCTGGGGGAGCAAGATGATGACCTAACATGTTCATCTATACCTTTCTACCAATTATTTTTATAATTATATAAACATGTTCAAATCTTTGTAGAATTCTTTTCTTGTTAGAAGTGTACACCATAAAATCCACAAACAGCTGTATTATCTCATTTTTCACCAACATCTCAGCCTCCACATGCAGCTTCTCCTTCTAGTCCATTCTGTTCTGGGTGATTCAACAAAAGTCTCCCATTTGCCAACCCCAGTCTCCAAGGTCCTCTCACCCAGTCTCCCTTCATTCAGGACACTCCTGACCTCATCTTGAAACACACCTCCATCTTGGATGGATCACTTACCTCTGAGGGTGGTTTGTTGTGACTTGGGCATCTGCTGAACCCCTTTCCTGACTTTTCTCCCTGGACCTGCTCCTTGAGGCAGTGCAGTCCCAGGGTTCAGACCTTAAATCCCATCTTATCTCATACCCTTTCCCAGGTCTTCTTCTCCCTCAGCTCCTGTGTCTCCTCATACATCACTTCCAGATATCACCTCACCAGCACCCCCATCTCCCTCCCAGAGAGCCCCATCCCTGTGAGTTACATCTGCCAGAATTCCTCACATGCCCTTCCCACCTAAAATTCTACATCTGAACTCATGCTGTTGTCTCATCTGAGGTAAATTAGTAATAAAAGACCTTCCTAATTCTTCATCCTTCTTCAATCAGGTTCACACTCTGCCACATTCATTTTACTCACTTCTGACTCTGACTTCATGTGTCTAGTGAGAGATCAGCCCATGTGACTCAGCAGAAGTTTAAAGTGCTGGCCCTATGGGTCTTCCCTCTGCCAGCTCCATGGAAGGACATTTAGTTCAGGGGGAGCAGGGCCTCTCGCCAGCCTTTCCCCCTGAAGTTCCTCCATCAGCCAGGAGCCCATGACCATTCATGCAATAACCCCAGCCAAAGTCCACTTGGTGACATTTTCATCTAACCAAAAAATGTAGGAGTAAGTTCAGTGGAGAGTAGTCAAGTCCATGCCAGGTTAGCTGAAGTCCCCACCAGCCCATGTGAATACAAGTCCATTATGACAGGACACTGAGTGATTTTTTCTATGTTTTTTTGTTACACAGCAGCATTATGGTGACAGGTAACTGATACACATTATTAATGCTCCTGACATTAAATATCAAACAGACTCTACAAAGCCTCAGAAGCCTCTGCAATCCCTTCTTCCACTTTAAATTCTGTGACCCAATTCTCCTCATTCAACTGGGTTATTTCTAAACCTCACTGCCGGCACCTCCTGTGCACCCACCGCCACTGTGTGAACCAGCCCCCTTCTCCACCCCATACCTGTACCCACAAAAATCCAAATATTGTCCCCACCCTTGTCCTCCCCACTACTGCCAGAATCACATGCAAGCGCTGCTGTGCTGAAAATCTTCAACAGCTCCACATGCAAACACCACAACATGCACACCAGGACTCCTCATCTGTGACTGTCTCCTCCCCAGCCTTCTTCTCTCTGCAGTGCTCACACTTTTACGCATGTGCCCTCAAGGCCCTACACCCCAAACTAAATAATCTAACTGCTGTTGTCCACAATCAACAGGCTCGGTGGACTCCTCTCTCCTTTCTGCATCTGGTCTGAGGGGCTTTATAGACCCTGTTAGATAAAATGACATCCCAGCTCAAATATCTACATCATATGGAGGTTTTTATGATTACCTTTGGTAGCTTTAATTAACCACCATTGACTGACCTCTCTGCTATGTACTCACATTTTTTTTTATGACAGTCTTGTCACCTCACAACACCCTGCTCCTCACTCTCTCCCAAAAGCCATGAGGACGCCATGTGAGCAGATCACACACCAAACATACGCTCCCCCCAGGTCATTCACATGGGCTGTGCCTCCACGTAGAAATTCCCTTCCCTGTGATGTACAACATGCCTGTAGCCAACATTGCTGTGTGATGTGTAGGGAAGTTGTTAAAGGACAAACTCCAAAGAAATTTTTTCACAATGAGGAAATTTTCCCCTTTTTGCTTCTTTTTCTTTCTTTTTATAAACCTATAATAGCAGACAGATGTGATATAACCTATTGTAGCCATCAATTCACTATATATATAAATCAGTCATTATGCTGTATGCCTCACATTACATATCATACACAGTAATTATCTGTCTATAAAACTGGGGAGAAAGGAACACCCACACATCAGATATCTACTCTGCTGTATTCCCACTTCCCTGGAGTCTTTGCTCCCATGGCATGAGCCTGAGTTACTATTTATTCTGTATCCTTCCCTCAGCCCCAACCCCACATTACTGACCCATCTCCCCTGCTCCATTTAACTTCCTGTCCTCATCAAAGGACAGGAAGGTCATTTATGACCTCACATCGAATGGTCATTTATGCCCTGGTTATTTATTACCATTGCTCTATATCCCACTGCAAATATAAACTCACAGAGTGAAGAACTTTACTAGATTTGTTTTTGTATCCAAGGGTTTAGAACAGGGCTAGACACGTACTAGGTACCCTGTATATTTACATTTCATAAAAAATGATTTAATAAGTCTTTTCTGACTCATAAATGAAATTAAAAACTAAATTCCATTGCCCTTATTTTCTCCCCAATTCCAACACTCCAGGACTCTGAGATATTTAACATGTCACCAACCTGCCACCTGCAGCTCCAAGCTGGCTTGCCCACGGAAGACTCCGTTGCTGAAGAAGCAGGTGTACAGCCCATTGTCAGCAGCCTGGACCTTGTGGATGCGCACAGCAGCCTCCCCTACACTGAGGAATTCCCTGACCAGCGAGGTCCGCCCTGCATACTGGGCCATCAGCTCCTCATCTCGTTCCTGTCCATCTTGATAGGTGAAAACTGACTCCCAGACATTGGACCGGAACCACCTCAACTCCATGTTCTCTGCACTCATGACTGGGTCCAGGAAGCAGGGCAGTGTGGCATCCTTGCCCAGCTCTGCCACTATGGGTTCTGGGGGGCCAAACACACGGAACCTTTCTGTGAACACAGACATGTGAGTTAGAAAGGCTGAGAGACACAGTTATATCAGGGAACACACACCATCACTGGGGGAGGCCCGGGCAGGCTAAGGGAAGGTGTCAGACAGCTTGCTACAGGGCAAACACCAATATAAAATGGGGTTTCCTGATTGTGGATCCTCACCTGCGCTTTTAAAGGGGACTTATTAATGCCAAACTGCAGACACACACAAAAGATTGATAAAAGTTTTATTTACAAGGGAAGGGATGGGAAAATGAATAACTAAGGGAGAAAAAGAGGGAAATAAGTTCATAAGTGCATCCTACCAGATCCACTGACCTGGAATCCCAATGACCTGCCGAGCTGGATAAAACCTAGCACCCCTTGTGGCCAAGAGGGTGACCCCCAGCCACATGGCCAGTTAAATACCCAAACCAAGAGCCTAATTGCTTAACTCCACCCTCAGGTCCTCACAACCTTCCCTTTGGTGATCATGGGATTTGTAGTTCCCAGTGTCATGGGGGTGGAGTCCACAAAGCCTGTATGGAGTTTGCTCAGGACATCCTTTATCCCTATCAATTCCCCCCTTTACTTTTTACCACCATTTCCATGGTGATGAAGATCAAACATATGGATGCTGGGATACAGTCTCAGATGAAATTTTTTAGGTTTCCAGTGTGAAAGAAAACCAGTCTCTCCAAGTATTGTCCATTGTGGAAACCAAAAGTCCTCCATTCCTGGAAAAACAGTTCAGCAGTCCAAGCCGAAAACAAAAACAAAAAGACTGTCTCCTAAGACTACACGCTGAGATCTGTGCCACCATAGATATGGTGGAATAAAAATAAAAAGGGGGGATTGTAACAGGATGGTCCCCAAGAAAGGGGGAGGTTCCAGGTTTCCTGCCCCACCCAAAAGGAGGGTGGAGCTGAACAGAGAAAGAGAAGCTGCAGAGGAGACTGAGGAAGGAAGGAAGCAGGATGGAGCCAAAAGGAGACCTGGAGGAGGTACATGGAGCTGAGAGAATGTGAAGAAACTGAGCTTGCCTTTTGGTCGTGGACTGGGTGACACAGATGTGGATGAGAGACCTGTGGGGAGGTGACAATGGCAGTTTTTGTCTTGATTTTCATTTTGTTCTTTTCCTTCCAGACTTCTCTGGTTGTTTCTGATCCTTTTCTGTGGGTCCCCACTGAAAGATGCTCTTTAGAACTGTGGCAGGCTTTCGGGCCATGCTCTGGGCCAATCCCATTTGGGTGGATTTTACCCACGAGGGGACAGGTAACTTTGGGTGCTTGATTTAGAAACTATGTTCTTTGTCTTTTCTGTATTGTTTCCTAATGACATTAAAGTTCCTTCCCATTAAAGTCTCATATGTTTTGTGCTGATGTGGTAGATGGAAGAACCTATTTAGAGCAGGCAGGTTTGCGGGGTCTGGGCTGCCCCTCTCCTGCTCTGTAATCAGCTGACATGAAGGATTACAGTGACAATTCTGAACCTGGGAAAGATCTTCCAACCACAAATTGTGGTCCAGAAATAATGCCAAAGATGCTCCCCCATTCACTGATGAACCTGATAGCAGGACCTTCCATGAAGAACTCTAACTCAATGGTTCTCACCTTCAACATCACAAACTCCAGGAGGGTTGGTAACTGTAAAATGCAGGGACCCTACCGCAGGTTTGATACAGCAGATTGGGGTGTACCCAAGAACGTGTATTTCAAAAGAGTTCTTGGGGGACTAAGAAAGTGTCTGAGGAAATCTGTTTTCATTGCACAGAGGATCATCAATGTGAATGAGTGGACAGGGCACCCAGAGAACACCAGGCTTGCAACAAAGCTGGACACTCATACAGCAGTCACCAGGCAGACAGCACCGAAAGGGACACAGAGGAGAGTCATACTTCACTGACTAGAGTTAGGCAGAGAGAGACACCTGGAGGTTGTGGTCAGGGTTGGGGAGGCTGCAGCACACACTGTGGTGAGCTGTGGGCACATGACTCTGAGCAGGGAGAGCTGACAGGGAGGGGCTCACAACTCTGGCTGGGTGCTCCCAGCTAACAAGGTCCCCAGTGAGGAAATAAGGCACAAAACTAGATGCACCCCTCACTCCCTCCTTAGGACTGACCCTACCCTCCTGAGGCTCAGGGACAGTGTGCACAGGGCAGAGTATCAGGGCTGGATTGGGAGAGACAGGTGTCAGGGATGCCACAAATATGAGCTCACACACCCCAGCCAGTGTACCCACCCCAGAGGCTGGATGGACAGCAGGCCCCACAGTCTCTGACTCAGCATCTCAAGCATCAGGTCTCTAGTCCTGCATAAGTTACACATCTAAAAACATAACAGGGTCACCTGATGGAAAGTCAGAAGTAGTTGAACTCTCTAAGTTACCACTACAGAAGCATTTTTTCAAAATAGGAAATGTAAAGCAGAAAAATAAGTCCCAGAAACTTGAGATCTCAAGGGAATATGAAATCATAAGACCAAACCAACTCCCCAATGTGCAACTACAAAGATATGGAAGATGGTATCTTACTATCAAGTAGAGTTCAAATTGCCATAATAAAGAAAGTCAAAGAATGGAGAAAACACAGAAAAGTGAATCAAAAAGAAAAACAAAATTCAAAACAATAAATTAATGACTTGGAAAATAAAATGAGTAAAAAGAAACAGAAATTGAAGGCTTAAATTAAAATCACAGAGATGGGGATGTAAAAAGATTAGCAGAGAATTAGATTTTCTCACTCCTGGAGAAGCTATGGGAGCAGAATAGACCAAATAGAAGATCAAATCAGTGACCTGATGGTAATAATGTACAATGGACCGAAGTAGAAGAAAAAAGAGAAAAATGAAGAAAAACTGGAAGAACTAACCATCTATAAGGAAAGGCCACATAAACATAATGGATACTCCACTATATGAAGAGAGACAGGAACAGATATTCATTCAAAGAAAAAGAGTAACATTACATATACACATAATGAAATAGTACTCACATTTTTTAAAAGATTAATTTTTACTTAGGTATGCATAGAAAAGCTGGGGTGTAAGCCAGAAGTGTGGGGGTTGAGGGATTCACCACAGACAGAGTGAGGAGAAGAATAGGCAGACTGCAGAAATATACTGCTGAGGGAAGCAGCTAGCAGACAGGAGAGGTCTGCTACAGGATGTGGATCAGCTCCCTGGCCAGGGATCAAAATCCTGCTGCAGGGGCTGATAACTTCATAATGATGAGACTTAACCCTTGCACCACCAGGGAGGCCCACAGATTTTTTTTTTTTTTAAAAAACCTAGTCTCTTTATTTTTAAGATTTATTTATTTTTTTTTTATTTATACAAGCACTGAGTACAGTCAGAAGTGCCGGAGGGTGAGAATTCACCAGACCCAGAGCGGAGAGCAGAGCAGGCAGACTGATGAAATACACTCTTAAGGGGAGCAGTGGGCTGCAGGAGAGGTCTGCGCTCCATGTGGGACCCTCGCCCAGTGGCCAGGGATCGAACCAGCGCTGTAGAGGCTGTGGGCATCTTCACAACCCAGCGCTCAACCACTGCACCATCAGGGAGGCCCCCAGATTTTTTTATATAAGTAATACCATGCCATTTAAGCAACATGGATGGAACTTGAGGACATTTATGCTAAGTCAAATGAACAAAGGAAATTCCTGAAGAAGGAGCTCCCAGTGCCCCTGGGCCCCACCCACCCGAGGGAGACACAGGAACAGGAAGGGACAAACTCACCTTGGGACCCCCCAGGGGGCAGCTGGAGGAGGAGCAGCAGGGAGGGGAGGAGGCAGAGCACAGAGCTGGGGCAGGAGCAGGGCACCATCTCCTCAGGGCTGGGGAGAGAAAAGGCAGGAGGCAGCCAAGCCCACACAGAGGAGCAGGGCAGCCAGGAGTTCTGGGCTCAGCGGGGAGCAGGGCCCAGGGACCCCTCCCCCCCACCACCAGCAGGAGCAGGGCCCTTCAATTGACTCCTTAGGCCCTGAGACCAACGAGGAGGAAAGACCTGGCTCCTCTCAGGGCTTCTGAACCTCTGTGCTGCTAGAGACCATGAGGTTTATTAGAGAAAAACATCCTCCCTTCCCTCATACAGTGTGGAATCCACACCCCAGACCCACTTGCTGAGAGCACCAGGCCCCTCCATTCCCAGCACCTGGACCCAGAATTCAAACTGCCCTCCCCTCCCCATCATCACACCCAGTGACTCCCCAGGACAGAGACCCAGACCCAGGCCCCCAATGAAGAAGCAGCCTCCAAGAGAAGCCTCAGGACACATGACATTGTCCCCAAGGGGTCAGGGTCCCCCCCACAAGACCCTGTCCTACTCTATCTGCTTGTTCATTTCACCTGAAGGTCAGTCCCTCCCCACCTCTGACCTACCAGGGCCAAGGACAAGGTCCTGTCCCAAGCATAGCAGGAGCCAGGTCAGATCCCCACTGAGAGCTTTTCCTCTTCCTCTCTAACTGTGGGAATTTCTGCTTCAGGGTGAGGGACCCGGTAGACAGAGCAGCAGAGAAGAGGAAATAAGTCCTGATCAGAGACAACACCCTCTAACCACACACTGCTGGGGCTTGGGGGAGGAAGGCGATGGTCCTGGGAGGGCAGTTTCTGGGGCTGACTCTGAGGTCATCTCTAGACTCAGCCACTCTCTGTGTGACCATCTTCATCAAGTCTCTTAACCTTCCTGCTGCACTTTCCCCACAGAAAAATGGGAATAGTATCAGCATCTCCCAACTAAGTTTGGAATGAGAATTACATGAATTATATTTGAAGAGTCACTACCTAAAATTCTAGAACAGGGTCCTGCCCCAGGAGTGTTACAGACACATTATTAAAATAAGTAAAGTACAATCTTCAGTGAGGTTGTGCTGGGTCCTCTCAGAGCTGGGCTATTTCCTGTGCCACCTCCCACCCCACCCAAGCCCCACCACCTTCTCAACCCCTCCTTACAGTCAGCTGTTTCCCACTATTTTTTCTTAAAAGAAACATGTCTAGGGAGTGCCTTGGAACTTGAGAAGTTTTCAGTGCTTTTCCAAATCTTCTTACAGAGTTAGAACCTACTGTTAGCTGCTCAGGAGTCCTGCTGGGTGCCAAGGGGGCCTGATGGCTCAGAGAAGATGGTTCCCAAGAGAGGAGACAGGCAGAACTGGGCACTCATTGAAGGGTGTCTCACCAGGGGTGGGATCCCGAGGATCCTCCTAATTTTCTCTTAAAAATGCAATCACCCTTCGCTGGCTCCTACACTATCTGAAAGTGAAAGCTTGAAATGCAATCCCAGCAGCCTCCACCCTGCCCTCATGACAGTGCACCCAAGGGAGCACTTCCTTTCTGTTTCAGGAAGGAAACAGCATATTAGATGGATTAGCAGAGGGGAGGGCCAGGGACCCTGACACCCCTGCAGGCACAGGGGAGGCACCCACCCAGCACCTACTGTTGAGTATCCACTGTGCTCTAGGCCACTTTGCTCCCAGAAACAGAACTAGGGGTGAGTGTGGGGCCCAGTCAGGATTGACACTGAGCCCTGTGCAGGGCTCTGCCTGTGCCTGATGTTGACCACCCCAGTGACTCCATGGCAGCTGTCACCCCACATGGCAGAGACTGGGAGGAGTCTGAGGGGGTCTGTTTTCTTCTCCTCACAGCAGCTGACCCAGAAACCCCCACACCCTGGACACCAGGAATCAGCACTGGGCACCAGGAGCTGCCAGGACCTGGTCCTGCCCACACTGCGTGGACGGGGCCTGCGGCTTGTTCAGATGTTAATGTCACCTGAGACCTGGTCACAGTGACCAGACCTGCTGGAAGCCAGCTCCAGCAAACTGTCCTGTCAGGGTTCCTGTAAGGATGAGAAGGCGTGGATGAATCTGAGGGGTTGAGGGGGAAGGGAATGAGGAGACTCTAACACTTGTTCATGGTGCAAGTATCTCCTGCTGAGAGTCTCAGCAGTTCTTTATTTATACATCTGGAGTGAGCAAGCCATGGGAGTACATAAACAAGTGCTTTCAAGTAAAAAAAAGGACTACAAATCTATGCATTTTTTTCAAAACTGGCCAAACAGTCCTGGGGACCTTTTGTTATAGGACAGGGAGAGGGGCAGCCCAAACCCCGCAAACCTGCCTATTCTAAATGGGTTCTGCCATCCGCCGCATCAACACAAAACATATGAGACTTTAATGGGAAGGAACTTTAATAAAACTAGGAAACAATAGAGGTAAGGCAAAGAGTCTAGTTTCTAAATAAAGCACCTAAAGTTACCCGTCCCCTTGTGGGTAAAAGTCCATCCAAATGGGATTGGCCCAGAGCAAGGCCCCAAAGCCTGCCACAAGTCTAAAGCATCTTCCAGTGGGGACCCACAGAAAAGGGCCAGAAACAACCAGACAAGCCCGGAAGAAAAGAGCAAAATCAACATCAAGATAAAAGCTGCCATTGTCACCTCCCCACGGGTCTCACCCACATCTGTGTCACCCAGGCCACGACCAAAAGACAAGCGCAGTTTCTTCACGTGTCTCCTGGCTCCATCCTCCTTCCTCAGTCTCTTCTGCAGCTTCTCCTCTTCCTGCTCAGCTCCACCCTCCCTTGGGTGGGGCAGGGAACCTGGAACCTCCCCCTTTCCTGGGGACCACCCTGTTACACTTTGACCCCTTGCTGAGGTGATAATAGCCATTTCACTTAGTTCTAAAGGTAAATACAATTACCACAAAAAATGTTTACTAGCAATTATTTATTTTTCACTGCCCAGTAGTCATTTTGTTACTGTTAAAAAACAGTAAAACAACAAAACTTTTATGATTAAAACTTAATTCCATTATAACATCTAAATTACGAATTAATCAAAATTTATAAAATTCCTAAATCTTAAACATTAAAAGTCATAATCACCTTATATATTGGTAATCAAGTCCAATTACTGCTAAAAAAAAAAAAAAAAACTTCCTATTCCTATAACTAATCTATTCTAATTTAATAAGAGTAGTAAAAAAATAAAAAAATAATAATAATCCCAGTGTGGCATAAGTTGCACTAACCCTTATCTAACCCCAAGCTTCAAAAGAAAAAAAAAAAAAGAAAAGGGAAACTCCTTTTACTTTCTCAAGGCTGCATTTTCACCTGTTACTTCCCTGATTATGTTGACAATTAACTGTTGTTTCTAACTTTAACTGCTATTTCTAACTTTAAAACTCTTCTCCAGATGGTCTCTGTCTTAAAGACCACAATTGTACACCAAGGACTTGGTGGGGAATGTTTACAGCCTTTAGTTCCCAGAAGATTTTAAGTGTGGCATATCACTTGTTACAATGAAACCAAATTCTGAATCACTGCCTTCAGGCAGAAAAAACACTAATTGTTTCAAAATGTACTATTTATATCATGCAGTGCCATTGTCGCCAAATTATTTATTATTTGGTCATGCAACATTAGCAGTTTTACTTCTAAATGTATATTTTAACAATTGCCACATTCAGAAGAATCAGCCATAAAAAAATGAGGAGAATCTAGCAGGAGTCAGCTAACAAGATTCCTGACTTCAGGAATCTGCCCCATGCCGGGACCCTTGTCAGACGACATGAGTAGCACAGACCCCTGCACAGACTCTGTCCCTCCGGGACAAGGGGTCACCAGAAAGACCTGATTCTATGTCTCCAAGGAAACCAGGGAACCTGGGCCTCCCCTTCCCCCTCACTTCCTATGGTTTCCCCTCCTCAGTGAGGGCACCTGTGTCCCCCAGTTATCTCTGCCAGAGACTCCAGGGTCATCTTCACAGTCCACTCCCCACCCAGTCTACTGCCAATACACCCAAATGTTCAATCCATGTCCATGACCAGCACCTATTCCACATCACCCCCATTTCTCACCTGGCCCAAAGCCCCACCCCATCTCCAGTATCACCTCCCGCAGTCCATTTCCTTCCAAAGTCATGACCCTCTCCAGTCAGCTCATGTCAACTCCCTGTCTCATTCCTCAGGGGATCCGTCTGCTTAAAGAAGGGGCTCCCAGGCCTCCCCCTCCCTCTCTGACCCCCTCCCATTGCTCTCCCAGGGGCCCCTTCTGGCTCAGGTGACTCCTCCAATTCAGGGAGCTCTCCCAGCCTCAGGCCTCCTCACAGACCCTGAGGCTCCTGTTGCCTCTGACCCCAAACCCTCACCTTTCAGGCCACATCTGAAGTGACCTGCTCAGAGGGTCCTCCACCAACCTCCCAACCTGTCCTTGTGCCCCCCAACATGCTTGTTAGTGTTGGGGGCCTGTTCTCCCCACAGCCTTGATGTGTGTCATCTGGGAACAATGTGAAATCCTGGGAGGAGGCCCTGTGAGTACTGCTCCCTGTTCCTTGTCCAGCAGGGAGGGGCCTCACAAGCTTCAGCTGAGCTCGTCTGCAGAGGAGATATTGCTGCTGCCCATCAGCCCCTCAGCCTCGTTCACTGAGAAAACCCCTTGGTCGACTGAGAACACGAGACACCACCTGTGACCTGAGCACCAGCCGCTCATAGACGCAGTGTCCACCACGCTCCCCTGTCTGCTATTCTATTCCCCCAAACATAAATGGGTCACTAATCACATCTCACTGAGTTGGAATCATTCAGGGCAACAATCTGTGTCTGTCCCCCAGATTCTCCCAGGGCTCAGCCCCCAGATCACTTCCTGGTGACTGAGGCCCTCACTGCACTCCTGCTGGGTTGTGGACTTCACAGCACTTTCTGCACACCAGGCACCCGACTCCTTACATCGTCACCGCCTCGCACCAGCAGGACTGTCCCTGCCAGGGCTCACTCTCCCTCGCCAAAGGGACCGGCTGTGTCTGTCTTCCTGGGCCAGACTGAACCTGATGCACAGAATGGTTGGTTTCTGCCTGAAGTCTGATCTGACATATTAAAACTCAAAATTTCTGTATATTCTTGAACACATCACACTTTGTCATCTTTAATATTTCATTTATGATCATATTGACTTAGAGTCCATCTTGGAATCTCCAACTTAATTTGAAAAGAATAAAGAGACAAGGAATAATTCTCTCTTGCATATTTACCCCTCAAACATCACCAATCCCTGTCCAATAGGGACAATTCTCAAGGCCTAAAGGCATTAAGAGTATTTGATGAAGAAACAGAGGGGGAAAAACCACTGTATTGAGCACCTAAGTGCCAGGAGCTGGGCTGCACAGGTGGTGTCTGTGGCCCCTGATTCTCACACCTGCAGACAGAGATGAAGTTTCCTGAGTCCTGCCTTCTGTGTAGGGACATGATCCAGGACTTCCTGGGGGAAGGGGCTGCAACCACAGGATGTGCCCCACCCCCACCCCAGCTCTCAGTAGCCCAGTCCCCAGCTCCACACCCCTCAGGACCTCCAACTGCCCCTGGAGTTGGACACACCCAGAAACCTCATCTCCCCCTGAATGCTGCCCTTGAGTTCATGTGGGGAGGGGAGGGGAGGAGGGACAAAGCACAGGGCAGGTGTCCCGAACAACAATGGGGGACACAGGACACCCTGCAGGAAGGACAAACACCCCCCTCACTGCCTCTCCAGCTTCTCAGGGCCTGTTCCTGCTGCTTTGTCAAAGTCACTGGGGGTAACTCACTGAACTGTCTTGCTCAAATATAAATTGTCCCATGGTGATGGGTTAATAGTTGACTCTATTAAGAGACATATGATACCGCTAATCTTTTAATTTCTTCAAGTGCTTTGAAGTACACTCTGGTAAACACTTTGTATGATGAACAAGACAGCAGCCATTTTAGGGCAGACGCAGCAGCTATTTTAGGGAGGGTATAGCTCTGTATCATTTCTGTACAGAAACCACAGAGACCACAGAAAACGGGCAAAACTGAACTTAATGAAACTCAGACCACTGATAACAGATCAACCAATCAATCAGAATAGACTCGGTGCTAAGAATGGAAAGTCCCACTTCCCAAAAATATGGTATAAAGAAAGCCTTGTGCCCTGCAAGGGGGCCCTGCTCTCAACCTGGTGGGACTGCTGAGTCAGTGCACCAGGCAGAGTTGGGCCCTAGCTTAAGCTAGCAATAAAGCCTTTTTGCTTTTGCATCTCTGGCTCCGTGTGGTCTTTGGGAACCCCGGACACAGTTGAGGCGCCAACTCCTAACAACTTAAATTAGCCAAAAGACAATGGCAAACATTTAAAGAATTATGATTTTAAAATCAACTTTCTGTTGGAGGAACTAAAGCCCTTTCTTTAACATTAAAGCTCAATTTCTCTGGACATTGTTAGAATTAAAGGTTCAGGGCTTCCCTGGTGGCGCAGCGGTTGAGCGCTGGGTTGCGAAGCTGCCTGTGGCCTCTGCGGCGCTGGTTCAATCCCTGGCTGCTCCCCGGCCACCGGAGGAGGGTCCCAAATGGCGCACAGACCTCTCCTGCCGCCCGCTGCTCCCCTCAGCAGTGTACTTCGGTCCTTCTGCCTGCTCTGCTCCCCGCTCTGGCTCTGGTGAATTCTCTCACCCTCCCGCGCTTCTGACTGTAGCCAGTGCTTGTATAAATAAATTAAAAATTAAAAAAAAAAAAAAGAATTAAAGGTTCACAGGGTTATTTTCTCTTGCAGCAAAATGTTTAAAGTCATTTTTCAGACTTCTCCTGAAAGGGAACTGCTAAGAAAAAGAAATCTTTCCCTGTAAATAGTCATAGACTTGGAAATGTAAAGTAAATAATGTTTGCTTCCTTAATCAGCATATCTAAACAAGGTCTGGTAGCCTGCTAGGCTGATTGATCTCCCAGGCCATCCTGGAAGATCTGTATCCTTCCCCTTTTCCTGTGTCAAGAATTTGTATGCCCAAAATAGATGACTGGATCAAGAAGATGTGGTACATATATACCATGGAATATTACTCAGCATTCAAAAAAGATAAACACATGCAATTTGCTGCAACATGGATGGCGCTGGAAGGGATCATGCTCAGCGAAATAAGCCAAAAAGAAAAAGAAAAATACCGGATGGTCTCACTCATAGCAGGAATCTAGAAAACTTAAATAAGGGACCAGGAAAATGAATAACTATAAGAAAGTGAAAATCAAAATCAACAAAAAACTATGAACCAGAGACACTTTTACGGGAGCGGGGGCGGGAGGGGAGGTATTGGGGTCAGAATGGGGGGCTGCAATTGTATGGGGAATATAACAATAAAATTTATAAAAAAAAAAATACACAATTCAGCAATCAAAAAAGGTAAACTAACACCTGTACACCTATGTTTATTGCAGCACTATTTACAATAGGTAAAAACTGAAAACAACACAAATGCCCAAAAATAGATGACTGGATCAAGAAGATGTGGTACATATACACTATGGAATATTACTCAGCAATCAAAAAAGATAAACTCACTTCACGCCATTCCCAGAAACTGGATGGAGCTAGAAGGAATTATGCTCTGTGAAATAAGTTAGAAGGAAAAAGAAAAATATTGGACGGTTTCACTTATAGTAGGAATATAGGGAAACCAAATAAGACATCAGTCTAAAAAAATAATCAGTACAAAATACAACAAAGCAAAAAAAGACAATTATAAATCAGAGACATTCTGCAGGGGAGGAGGAGGGTGAGGGATCAGAGGGAGGGAGGGGGGAGCACAGGGGACTGAGGTGAAGGTGCATTGGTGAAGGAAACTCTATGGGGACAACATCTGAGGGGGCGGGTGGAAGCACATATCATTTAAAAAAAGAACACTGATGTAAAAAAATTAAAAAATAATAAAAATTTGAAAAAAAAAAAAAAAGAATTTGTATGCTAACCAACCAACTTTATCAATGTAAAGTGGTTG